TTAGGCTGAGTAAGATCACCAGTAACCTGTCGGTGCAGAGGAAGAGTCAGTTCATGCAGAGACTGCACAGCTACTGGACGCTGAAGAGACAGAGTCGCAACGGTGTTCCTCTCCTGCGGCGTCTGCAGACACACCTGCAGTCCCAGCGCAACGCCGAGCCGCTCACTCCCACGGTCAGTGCCCGAGCCTCCAGACTCCGCTCACTTCTATACACAGAATAAAGTAACGTGCATCAAGCTACAAGTCTAGAAATGGCTTGTAACTTGAATTTCATACATGCAAACTTTTAAAAAGCACAGTGGCTTACCAGGGTTTAAAATTAACAACCGGCACATGCGGTAAAAACCCACTGTGGCGGGAAACGCTGTCAAATCACGAGCCAGTTTGGCGTGTTACTTACCTTTACTCACTTTGCTGGGGAAGTTCGTGTAAGCCAAATCTGCGCGGATTCAGCGCAAATACTCAACTCGTGATCCTCATGATATATTAAATACAGCGTATTGCAGAATCTGCTCATATCTGGCTTACTTGAACACACACGACAAATAACGGTGCGCTTGTTCACTTGCACTGAAGCAATAGCGAAGATTAAAAAGCATTTGGTGAACAGAAAACACAGTGTTATTTGGATGAAAGAGGAAGAGGAGATGCAGGATGACAGGATTTAGTTTGAATAAGAAATGAATGTATGAAATCCAAATTTTATATATATATATTTATTAGGGGTGTAACGGTTCACAAAATTCACGGTTCGGTTCGGTACGTTTCCGATACAGCAAAAAGAAAGAAATGCCAGAGAAATGTCCTTGATTTTAATTTTTTTAATTATATTTTTATTAAAACTAACATCATGAAGTATGATATTTTTTAACTTTGAGCAATGATGGAGCTATACTTGCCTTTTCTTAGGAGCTTATAAAACAAAACAGCTCCTTGGTCAAAATGAAATGTAATATTGTAGTAGTTATAAACACAGGTTTATTTTAGTTCAGATTAACATTTGAGGGCAGCAATTGTATTCATAATGTCGAAAAATAAAACCGATGTAATGTTACATGAAAGCATTATAGGCTACTATTCCTGCCACACTCCCATGGTTACAGTTAGTAGTGCTACTACAGTAAACCCATGGTGAATGTGCTGATCTGTGGACACTGGATAGTTCATTCATGGCATAATGTTTCTTCCTGGTTTCCACGTCAGCGCTGTTTGATCCGTTAATAATGGAGAAATGTGAATGTTTCTCACTACTTCAATACGAATACGTGTATCGTTACACCCCTAATATTTATATATATATAAGCTGTGACGTAGTTAATCTGGTTAATTTCTCTTTTTTTTGGCTAGTAGAAGTTCTGAACAGCTGGTAACTTGAAAGTTTAGTAGCCGAATTGTCCGATGAGTGAAAAAAGTTAATTTCAAACCCCGGTAACCGCTATACTTCAGCTGCTGGATCGAGAAGAAGCTCATGTGAAACTGAAATGTGAGGTTTATCATTAGGCAAAACTTTTTACTTCTGTCAAAATCTGTCATTTGATCTGTAAAGTTGTTTAAATCGCCATATTATGATTTGGATGTTGCCGTAAAGACGTTGCTCCACCCAAATGGTATGAGGTTTTATTTGTGCAGGTCTTCAAGCTTGGATACCCTGACATGACCGTGTTGGTCCGTTGTGGAGAAACACGAGGATGACTGTGTGTGTGTGTGTGTGTTCTCGCAGAGGGACGGGGAGGAGAAGCACTCGGTGTTGAAGGAGCAGCTGAAAGCGTGGCAGAGGCTCCGGCACGACCTGGAGCGAGCGCGACTGCTGGTGGAGCTCATCCGCAAGAGAGAGAAGCTCAAGAGAGAGACGGTGAGGCTCAACTCTCTCACCTGATACCGCACCGGCAGAAACAGAGAAACAATCGGGTTTAAGTGTTTTAGTGTCCGTGACGTCACCCGTGGGTTTCAGAAGAGCATTTGTGAAGCCCAAAGTGAACAGAAAATGAGCAGCGAGGCGGGTTAGCTGAGGTGACGTGACGCTAGCAGTGACATCAGCGGCAATCCACCTGTCACTCAAGTGGCCACGCCCCTTAATTATGCAGAACTTAACAGATACTTAATAACAGAACTTTTGAGATTAATAATATATTAGTAAATCTTGAAATTAACATTAACTCAGATCAATAAAACCTTCAGTATGTTAGTTATAATATATTTAAAGGCTTATATAATTAAAATGGATGAATTATAAAAACAATTCATCCCCCGACCAAAACCACTTTTTGCACCAGGCTGTAAACATGTTTCCTGCTGTAAAGTTGGGCATTTTAACACTAGCCGGTCTCTAGTGGCCAGTCGGGGAACTGCAGTTTCAGTCACTTCAGTGTTGGATTCGAGAGAGAGAGGCAGGACGGTTCCCGCTTGGGTTTGATCTATAAACCAGACACTTTAGAAACATGCTCAGATCAACCTCAAGCACTTCAGTTTTCTGCATGTCAGCGTGAAATCAAAATTGACCCTTAAAGTTAAAATACATTTGTTGCAACCGTTCCTGTGTGGAACACCGTGTTTTCATCATCCAATCAATTCCCAGTGGATGAAATTAAGGCTTGCCCTGCATTTAAACAGCTTCTGGAACAAGAGCACATGTGGGCGGGGCTTGATTGGATGATTGGATGGTTGTGGTTTGCTATTGGCTGATCTCATGTGAGTGACAGGTTATAGCCCCGCCCACATCATCAGAGAAGAGATGCTGCAAGAGGAACTTATTCTGATTCAAGATTATTAAAACAATAATGATGTGCACCGATAAATCATTTAAAATAAACACTGCAGGATTTTTTTAATTTAATTGAGATACTATTATTGTTTTATGAATATTTTGAATTATTTTTATTGTTATAATTTTTAATTTCAAAGTTTTTGTATATTTTTGTTTTTTAATTGTCTAGATAGTTTTTATTCATTTTTATTTCAGTTTTAATTGTAGTTATTATTAGGGTTTTCGTTAACTATAACCTTGACTTCAATAAGAATTGTCAATTTTGATTTCATAGTAACTTTAAAGTTAGCCATTGACCAGTGAGGGACGACGTTGAAATTCACATATGAAGTGTGTTTAGCCTCAGGCCAGTATGAAGTGTGTAATGTTGTGTGTGTGTGTGTGTGTTCAGCTCAAGGTGCAGGAGCTGGCGTTAGAGATGCAGTTGACCCCGTTCCTGGTGTTGTTGCGCAGCACGCTAGAGCAACTGCAGGAGAGAGACTCCAGTAACTTCTTCACTGAGCCTGTGCCTTTGAGTGAGGTAAATATACAAACCCCATGATTCACTCTCCCTCGAGTCAGCCTAGGTGTTTATGACTTTCTCCTTTCAGACGAACACAATCAGCGTTATATTAAAAAATATCCTTATTCGGCCAAACGAACATACGGATTCGACTTAACTTCAGTCTAAGCGCGTAATGCGACGCACTGCTGATATATAAGCGCTGACGCACTACGCTACCTCTGACGGCATGAGCTGCGCTTTAGATGCAACTATACTGCGGATGTTTGTTTGGCCGGAAGCTAGTTATTTCACTTTATAAAGTTTTAAATATGAATATTACGCATCGCTTCGCTTCAGAAGGCCTTTATTAACCCCCCAGAGCTGTGTGGAGCACTTTATCATGGATAGATGCACTTTTATGATGGACAGATGCACTTTTATCATGGATAGACGCACTTTTATGATGGACAGATGCACTTTTATCATGGATAGATGCACTTTTATGATGGACAGATGCACTTTTATGATGGACAGATGCACTTTTATGATGGACAGATGCACTTTTATGATGGACAGATGCACTTTTATCATGGATAGATGCACTTTTATGATGGATAGATGCACTTTTATCATGGACAGATGCACTTTTATGATGGACAGATGCACTTTTATGATGGACAGATGCACTTTTATGATGGACAGATGCACTTTTATGATGGACAGATGCACTTTTATGATGGACAGATGCACTTTTATCATGGACAGATGCACTTTTATGATGGACAGATGCACTTTTATGATGGATAGATGCGCTTTTATGATGGATAGATGCACTTTTATCATGGATAGACGCACTTTTATGATGGACAGATGCACTTTTATCATGGACAGATGCACTTTTATGATGGACAGATGCACTTTTATGATGGACAGATGCACTTTTATCATGGATAGACGCACTTTTATGATGGACAGATGCACTTTTATGATGGATAGATGCACTTTTATGATGGACAGATGCACTTTTATGATGGATAGATGCACTTTTATGATGGATAGATGCACTTTTCACTTTTGTGATGGATAGATGCACTTTTATGATGGATAGATGCACTTTTATGATGGATAGATGCACTTTTATGATGGATAGATGCACTAGATGCACTTTTATGATGGATAGATGCACTTTTATGATGGATAGATGCACTTTTATGATGGATAGATGCACTTTTATGATGGATAGATGCACTTTTATGATGGATAGATGCACTTTTATGATGGATAGATGCACTTTTATGATGGATAGATGCAGTAGATGCACTTTTATGATGGACAGATGGACTTTTATGATGGATAGACGCACTTTTATGATGGATAGACGCACTTTTATGATGGATAGACGCACTTTTATGATGGACAGATGCACTTTTATCAGGGATAGATGGACTTTTATCAGGGATAGATGCACTTTTATGATGGACAGATGCACTTTTATCATGGATAGACGCACTTTAATGATGGATAGATGCACTTTTATGATGGACAGATGCACTTTTATCATGGATAGACGCACTTTAATGATGGATAGATGCACTTTTATGATGGACAGATGCACTTTTATCATGGATAGATGCACTTTTATCATGGATAGATGCACTTTTATGATGGACAGATGCACTTTTATGATGGACAGATGCACTTTTATGATGGACAGATGCACTTTTATGATGGACAGATGCACTTTTATGATGGACAGATGCACTTTTATCATGGACAGACGCACTTTTATGATGGACAGATGCACTTTTATCATGGATAGATGCACTTTTATGATGGACAGATGCGCTTTTATCATGGATAGATGCACTTTTATGATGGACAGATGCGCTTTTATCATGGAAAGATGCACTTTTATGATGGATAGATGCGCTTTTATGATGGACAGATGCACTTTTATGATGGATAGATGCACTTTTATGATGGATAGATGCACTTTTATGATGGATAGATGCACTTTTATGATGGATAGATGCACTTTTATGATGGACAGATGCACTTTTATGATGGATAGATGCACTTTTATGATGGATAGATGCACTTTTATGATGGACAGATGCACTTTTATGATGGATAGATGCACTTTTATGATGGATAGATGCACTTTTCACTTTTATGATGGATAGATGCACTTTTATGATGGATAGATGCACTTTTATCATGGATAGATGCACTTTTATGATGGACAGATGCACTTTTATGATGGACAGATGCACTTTTATCATGGATAGACGCACTTTTATGATGGATAGATGCACTTTTATGATGGACAGATGCACTTTTATGATGGACAGATGCACTTTTATGATGGACAGATGCACTTTTATCATGGATAGACGCACTTTTATGATGGACAGATGCACTTTTATCATGGATAGATGCACTTTTATGATGGACAGATGCGCTTTTATGATGGATAGATGCACTTTTATGATGGATAGATGCGCTTTTATGATGGATAGATGCACTTTTATGATGGATAGATGCGCTTTTATGATGGACAGATGCACTTTTATGATGGATAGATGCACTTTTATGATGGATAGATGCACTTTTATGATGGACAGATGCGCTTTTATGATGGACAGATGCACTTTTATCATGGATAGATGCACTTTTATGATGGATAGATGCACTTTTATGATGGACAGATGCACTTTTATGATGGATAGATGCACTTTTATGATGGATAGATGCACTTTTATGATGGATAGATGCACTTTTATGATGGACAGATGCACTTTTATGATGGATAGATGCACTTTTATGATGGATAGATGCACTTTTCACTTTTATGATGGATAGATGCACTTTTATGATGGATAGATGCACTTTTATGATGGACAGATGCACTTTTATGATGGATAGATGCACTTTTATGATGGATAGATGCACTTTTATGATGGATAGATGCACTAGATGCACTTTTATGATGGATAGATGCACTTTTATGATGGATAGATGCACTTTTATCAGGGACAGATGCACTTTTATGATGGATAGACGCACTTTTATGATGGACAGATGCACTTTTATCAGGGATAGATGGACTTTTATCAGGGATAGATGCACATTTTTTAATGAGCTTCAATCTGTTGGTTGCAATTCACTGCCATTATAAAGCTTGGAAGTTTTTTTTAATTTAACTCTAATTGTATTCGTCTGAAAGAAGAACGTCATATACACCAAGGATGGCTTGAGGGTGAGTAAATAATGGAGTCATTTTTATTTAAAAGTGAACTACTCCTTTAAGCGTTACCTAATGTGAAGCCGTTTTTGCACTGATAGCAGAATTAGCATCCATTATGTTGTTCCCTGAATGCTTTAAACATGACCTCGTGTGTGTGTGTGTGTGTGTTCTCCAGGTCCCAGATTACCTGGACCACATCGAGCGTCCGATGGATTTCCAGACCATGTGGAAGTGTGTAGAGTCGCACCGCTATCTCAGCTTTGAAGCTTTCGAGTCGGACTTTCTGTTGATCGTCAACAACTGTTTGAAGTATAACGCCAAAGACACGGTCTTCTACCGCGCAGCGCTGCGACTGCGAGAAGCCGGCGGCTCCGTCCTACGGCAAGCGCGCAGACATGCGGAGAGAATCGGCCTGGATTACGAGACGGGCCTTCATCTTCCTCGAGAACCGAGCCCGGATTCACCACACGAGCGAGAGCGAGACCGAGAGAGAGAACGAGACCGAGAGAGAGAGAGATCAGCGTCACTCATTGATGACGGTGAGTTGGCTTTCTCTCTTCTACATTTCATATTTCTGACCTGAATACCGCTGTTAGACATACCTGAAAAACTTAAAGCCATGTTTATTTCATTTTAGTGCTGGGCAACGATTAATCACATCCGAAATAAAAGTTTATTTTTATTTAATATACGTGTGTGTACTGTGTATAATTATTTTGCATAGATAAACACACACACATATATTTACATCTCTCTTCACACTGGATATATCATACATAAATGCATACGTTTCAGGGATGCACGATATATCTGCCACCATATCAGCATCGGCCGATATCGGTTCTTTTTTTTAACCCTCTGGGGACCAGAGTGTTTTTGGGGCCCTTGGGATGTTTTGACATGCACTGACATTTGTGCTTTTTTCAGTTATTTATAAACATGTTAATGGCAAAGGTGTAAATTCACTCTATATAGCACAGACGGGACTACCATGATAAGTGAGCAACATGTATGTACATGTTTGTATTTTTAAGAGAATAATGTTTATGCGTGGTTATTAAAAAAAAAAAAAAAGAAAGTTGCTGAAATAAGACCACAAAACACATATTGATTATTTCTTCACAATACTTTTGAAAATTGTATCACATAGTCTAGAATATTTGCTCCAAAACTATGTGAGAATCATCCTGACTACTCATTCAGATAAGTCAATAAAGTCTTTTACATTTTTAATGATGTGTTTTGTTTGAGAAAGCTTTATGCAGGAGGCTTGATCTCTCATTAATATGTGTGGCATTCCACACCTGAGAAAGACAAAGACCCTCCCCATAATGGCCCTATTAGGTGCTATCAGGCCATATCATTACAGGAGCCTTGCACAAAGAATGAGGAGATTTAAAAAAGAATGGCTTTTAGATTGTTTGGATTTATATAAGGAAAATACAGGGTGCATACGTCTGGACACTATGGGATTAATATCCTGCCATGATTCAAAACTGAAAATAAAGTTCTGAAAGGTTGAAACTAAGTGTTCGAAAACTCAAAATCTTACAAAAAAAAAGTTTTGCAAGATCGAAAAATAAGATTTGCAAGCTTGCAAAATGTAAAAAAATTAAAAATATCTCTGCAAACATTATGTTGTTTTTGAGATTTCCTTCTTCAGAACTGCAACATTTTTTTTACGATGTTGCGCAAACAATTTTTCAGAGTTTCAAATTTGTCAGTGTTCTCCCACTGTATTAGTTTGTTTTCCAGGTTTGCAACCTTGTAAATGGTGATCTGAAAACTGGTGTGCGAATGTGTGAAAAAAAGTTTTGAAACTCTGAAAACAGACTTTTGCAGGCTTGCAAAGGGGTAAAAAAATGTAAATCTCTGCAAACATAATTTTGTTTTTGAGTTTTCCTTCTTCAGAAGTGCAACACTCTTTTTTACGGTGTTGTGCAATCATTTTTTCAGAGTTTCGAATTTGTCATTGTTCTCCCAGTGTATAGTTTGTTTTCCAGATTTGAAACCTTATAAATGGTGATCTGAAAACTGGTGTGCGAATAGGTGAAAAAAAGTTTTGAAACTCTGAAAACTGAGGTTCGAAATGGCGAAACTTATTACATTACATGTGCACTCCTATTGCAGACTATTTTTTCAGAGCTGAGTTTACAACACCCAGTTTGCGGAGATACGCCCACACAGTTGCGAGCTTGCGACTCACGTGATTTGTGGCAGCGTTGTCACGCAGTTCTGCTCTGAAACTCTGAAACTCAGACAGAGTGAAAATGAAGCTTCGCAACCTCGCAACTTAAAAAAAAAGCCTGGAGGGAGGACCTTCTGCTCTTGGCCAATGCTTTGCTGTCTGCTGACGTACAGTCCAATCACAAGTCGTATTTACTGGAAAGGTGGGATACCTATATGCATTCCATACGCTTTCGTCATTGGCGGAGCAGTCGGTCAATCCCACCTTTCCAGTAAATACGACTTGTGATTGGACTGTACGTCAGCAGACAGCAAAGCATTGGCCAAGAGCAGAAGGTCCTCCCTCCAGGCTTTTTTTTTAAGTTGCGAGGTTGCGAAGCTTCATTTTCACTCTGTCTGAGTTTCAGAGTTTCAGAGCAGAACTGCGTGACAACGCTGCCACAAATCACGTGAGTCGCAAGCTCGCAACTGTGTGGGCGTATCTCCGCAAACTGGGTGTTGTAAACTCAGCTCTGAAAAAATAGTCTGCAATAGGAGTGCACATGTAATGTAATAAGTTTCGCCATTTCGAACCTCAGTTTTCAGAGTTTCAAAACTTTTTTTCACCTATTCGCCCACCAGTTTTCAGATCACCATTTATAAGGTTTCAAATCTGGAAAACAAACTATACACTGGGAGAACAATGACAAATTCGAAACTCTGAAAAAATGATTGCACAACACCGTAAAAAAGAGTGTTGCACTTCTGAAGAAGGAAAACTCAAAAACAAAATTATGTTTGCAGAGATTTACATTTTTTTACCCCTTTGCAAGCCTGCAAAAGTCTGTTTTCAGAGTTTCAAAACTTTTTTTCACACATTCGCACACCAGTTTTCAGATCACCATTTACAAGGTTTCAAACCTGGAAAACAAACTAATACAGTGGGAGAACACTGACAAATTTGAAACTCTGAAAAATTCTTTGCGCAACATCATAAAAAAAATGTTGCAGTTCTGAAGGAGGAAATCTCAAAAACAACATAATGTTTGCAGAGATATTTTTAATTTTTTTTACATTTTGCAAGCTTGCAAATCTTATTTTTCGATCTTGCAAAACTTTTTTTTTTAAGATTTTGAGTTTTCGAACACTTAGTTTCAACCTTTCAGAACTTTATTTTCAGTTTTGAATCATGGCAGGATACTAATCCCATAGGACACTACTATCACACACCCTTCACCATATAGACAAGGTTTTATTTCAGTTCAAAGGTCAAAGTTAGAGTTGGAAACATCTTGAAACGAAAATTGTCTTTCTCCATAAATGTCTTAGTTTGATCATA